CTTTCCCTAATGTGTGATGGCGTTCTTGAGTCTTCAGTCTTTAAAAAACTAGAGAAAAGGAGATAAGAATATGGCTCTTCAGCCCTGTTTCAGACCATTCCTTCTTTTATGGTATTTATCTTTAAATTTATGCCAATTAAACAGAGAAAAAGTAGGTTCCATTGTTTCTTTTAAAGATCTTATTTAGGTGTTAAGACATTGCACTGAAATTGCAAAAGTGATATAATTGCTGTGCAACTAAAGTCTTCCAGAAACTATCTGGAGGTGGGGAGTAGCAGGAAGAAAGAACACTCTCTGTACTTGTGTAAAGTTGTAGTGTGCCCTTTTTGTGAAATGTACATTACAAATAAATTTATGGTTCTTTTTCTTACTGCGATGTAAGTGTTCTTTCATTGGAAATGAATGAAATTAGGATATCAGGGTTGACTTTTTCATCTTACCCAATGAGAAAACACACTGTGGTCAGAGAGGAGCTTTTGATCTGGAGCAAAAAGACAAAAGTGACTATTAAGTATTGGACTACAGTTTGCAGAAGTCTAAAATGATTGTATCCAGCATTTCTTTTTCAAATTTTCAGTTTTGGTGACAGGACAGATTATCTTGACTAGTTTTAGTTATCAACAGCAGCAGTTTGACTTTTACAGTTGCATGGCTGTAACTGAGACTTCGTGAAATGAAAATTGGCCACTGTGGAGTATGTTCTGTCCTTAACCAGTGAAATATTTCAAGCCAATTTTTTGTAGACTCATTTTATATTAAATGTAGTATTATATTAATACAAAAATGTTGCAATCCTACCAACTTCAATAACAAGATAGTCATAGAATGACCTAGGCTGGAAGGGACCTTAGAGATCACTTTAATCCAGCCTCCCTATCGCCAGGGTCACCACCTGTTGACTAGATCAGGCAACACATGGGGACTGAGCGGCAATCGAACCCACGACCTTGGCGTTGTTAGCACCACACTCAACTGACTGAGCTAACCAGCCCCTATAATAGCAGAGAGGTTGCAGGGTTGGAAAGCTATTGCATGAGAATACAGAATTATCTTAGAAGATAAACTTTTGGTAAGACTCTGAGAATTAAATCTGTGGAGATGGTATGGAGATCATTTGAAGATGCTGTATTGGAGGTACAAGTGCAAGCTGCTCAATTAAAAAGTACGTTTTTAAAAAAGTACAGATGAACCCAGCATGGCTAGGCAGTGATGTAAAGAATGGTACTAGAAGACTTTCTTCAAATGGCCAAATTAATAGAATCTTTTTCTAAAGTAGAATTAGTAAATGTAGTAGCTGTATTGACACTTAAGATCTTCGTAATGGAAGATGATACATTAGAAGACCTTGGAGATCTCAGGTAAGTAAATAGGCATGTGACAAGGAAGACCTCACTGATGTATTTGAATTCCTTTGGATATCCAAATACAAATGATTTCTTATCAGGAACTTTTGGAAACTGAACTGTCTTCAGGTAAGATGGAAAGTCCTTGTGAAGAAAGTAATCATTTGAAGAACGGGAAGTAAATCTACGATGATGTGTTCCAGAGACTGTGCTGTGCAGCAGAATTAATAATTTATCTAAAATGTAGGATGACTGCTGAGGTCACAGTTTGGCAATGATGCTGTCAAGAGTTGTAGGAGAATCTTACAGTGCTGAATGACTGCAGTATAAAATGGAAGATGGCACTCATTATGGTTGGATACAAAGTGGTACAGATGAGAATGAAAATGCTGATTGAACTAACTGACCAGTCAAGAACAAGTTTCCGGGATTATAGTAGATAGTTTTGTAAAAACATAGATAGCAGCTGAAGAAAGCCATTAAAGAATGCTGGGAATAAATGAAGAAATAGAGGAAAACTTTAGTGTGAGACATCAAGCTCTTAATTTTTTTTTTATAATTCTATTTCGTTCCCCTTTCCGTTATACAAGATGTCACAACTGGAAGAGGTACATGAAAGAGCAACAGGGAAGATGGCAGAATTGCAGAATAATTTTAAATCTAATGGTCTTTATTCCAATCTCCTACTCAAAGCAGGTCAAACTATATCATATGGCTCACTGACCTTGGCACTTTGTTTCTGTGCATCTCCAAGGATGAATATGCCACAATTTCTTCTTGAGTAGCCTAATACATAACCAACCTCAACAGTGGAAAATCTTTCTGTCTAATTGGAATCTTCTGTGTGTCCGTTGCCTCCTGTCTAGTTGCTGGGCACCTTAAAGAGTAGTGGCTCCATCCTTTCTTTCTGCCCTCTAATTATGTGATGGAAGGCAGTGATATAATGTCCATTTAGTCTTCACTGTTAAGGCTGAACAAAGCCAGTTCTGTCATCTGCTGCCCATGACCTTTCTGATGGCCATCTGCTGGACTTCCTGTGGTTTTGCCATTGCCTGCCTTGTACTGAGGATATGAAAAGCAGACATAGAGCTCTAGATGGGAGTTTCTCAGGTACTGAACAAAAGGATATTGCTTCCCTTTTCCTGCTGGATACAGCTTGTTAATATGGCCTGAAATGCTGTTGAATTTACTTCACACTGCTGACTTAGGTTCATATTGTTTTCCACCAGGAAGCAAGGGCCTGTTCTACAAAGTTACTTTATAGCCAATCAACCCCCAGCCTGTGGTGTTGTATCAAGGCTAATCTGTCCCAGGTGCAGGACCTTGCACTTGAATTTGTTGTACTTTCCATTAGCTCATTTCCCTCCACCGCCCTACTAGTATGCCTCTGAACAGCAGCTAAGCCCTACAGAATATTTACCACTCCTGTCAGTTTGTATCTGTAAACTTGTCAAGTGTGATCTGCCAGCAAGTCCAGGCTGAGAGTAAATGCGGTAAACTGCATCAGCCCTGACGACTGCCTCTAGTGCTAACCCACCGTCTGGACTATATACCACTGACAGTGAGTTTTTTGAGCACTTTGTAAAAAGCTACCAGGTCTGTCAGGCATGATTTTTCCCTTAACCGCATCCAAGCTGACTACTCCCAGTCACCTGCCTCTCCTTTGTGTGCCTGGCAATGGCTTTCTGTGAGAATTTTTTTCTGTAACCTTTCCAAGATGTCAGGTGAGGCCGCTAGCCTATAGTTTCTCTGAATCATCCTCCTTGACTGTCTTGAAGATGACTGTGACATTTCCCTTTTTTTAATCATCAGGAGCGTCCCTTGGTTGCCATAAAAATGGTAGATGGGGGCCTCATAATGCTGACAGCCTACCTCCCTCAGCACTCCTGGGGACATCTCATCCACCTTGCTTATGTGTGCCCTAGCTCCATCTCCATGGCTGTGAATAGCATTTCTCTTCTGCTAGGGGTTTGTCCCTCTGCTCTCATGAACTTAGGAGGAAAACTTGCCAGTGAAAACTGGAGACAGGAAAGTTGAATACCTCAGCATTTTCTATGTCCTCAGTCATTAGGTTGCTTGCCTCTATGACCAGCAATTT